ACGTGAGATCTTCAACACTTTCTATCTGCATTAGATCCTATTCATTTAGATTTTTGCTCCTTCTACTCTACCTTCTTCCAAATTTTCAGCTATAAATAAAATGGCTGTTTCACGTGCAAAGATCATTTGAATGTAAGATATGTATGTAAGGCGCAATGTTTGCGATGTTGTAGTCTTGGCCTTGTTTTAAAGTAGGAAGTTAGAAAGTACTTACCCTCATTATTATTTCTACTTAATATGTTAGATCATAGTCTTCGTACATTTGAAAAGCATATAGTACTCGAAAGTACAGTGCGCAGGCTTCCTATGAAGCTTCCACTTCCTATGGAGCTGTTTGAACGGTCTTCAGATTTAGAGTTAACCGACTGTAACCAGGTTAAAAAAACCTCGTACGCGTTAGCAAATAGCTGTCAAAATTTGTCCCAGCTGGTTATAATTTACGTAGAACCAGGATAGAAGAAACTCGTACGCGTAAGCAGATGTATAACTGTCAAAACTTGTCCCCGCTACTTATGATTTACGTGGAAACAGGTTAAAAAACTCGTACGCGTAAGTAGATAACTGTCAAAACTTGCCCCGCTACTTGTGATTTACGTGGAACCAGTATAGAAAAAACTCGTGCGCATAAAAGAGCGCTGCCAGAGCTCTTTTATAAGTGATTGTTACCTATGTGGACTCGGTAGAAAACTCCTCCACATGAACAAGTGAGCTGCTTGATTGATTAGAGTCCTGATATCGAGCTTGGTGTGGCATCAAATATTGGGAAAAGGCCAAGAACTTAAAGAAAGAAGCAAATGCAAAACTTATATATGCCATTACTGTATAGTGGCAGAACAGACGTGTAAGATCTCGAAAAGAACAGCGTAAATAAATCCATTGCGCCCATTTAATGAGCAGTTTGTACATCAAGAAGTATGACAATAGCTATTTATTTTGACAAGACCATCCAAAAAAACGGAAGATTGATGGATAGCATATGCTGTTCAGTTCCTTTAGCAAAAAACTCATACATGCAAGACGGCAATCGGATTGGCTATACAAGGTTTCACAACACAACCACTTTGAAAACCCGCTCAGAAAAACTCGTACGCGTAAGAAAAAAAACTCGTACGCGTAGCACTTCTCATACAGTAAACGCTCCTCGATAACAATATACTTTAATATATAATTTTCATATCGTCAACTTCTTTCTACCTACGTTTATCACACCACGGCCAACTCGCATCTGATAAAATATGAGAATTCATGATATCCTAGGACGCGTTCCTGGATACCCATGAAATATCATGAAAACTTCTAAAAAAAATCGTGTCATTACGTTTCATGGCTTTCTGCACATGAAGATCTATGAGCGATCTTCATGAACATCCATGGAACTTAATAAATACTCTTGGTGTAATGAATAACTATGAAAGCTCTGTATGATATAATCTGTAACGCTCGCTAATGAATAACTATGAAATTTTATGAAGACTCTTGTCAATGAGATTTTTGTGCGTTTGAACGGCGTGAAGCTGTCGACATAAAGGCAAAGTGCGATGTCGTGTGGTCCAGTAAAGAGATGCTTATGTTTTTCTTTCCAAGCTTTGCCATCAAAGTAGCCTTCCAATTCTGCTGAATCATTTTCAGGGAGGCTTGTCAAACCACGTAATTGATCCCTTGACTCTGGCCGCGCAAGTAAAGCCGCGAGTTGATCTTGGATAGACAGGTATTTCATCGTGCACTGCGGCTTCCTAATGCTTCCCGGTGCCCGAATCACATAGCGTGGCTTTCCACATTTCTGGCAGCTTTCTGCATCGTCCATAAGAAGTCGACATCCATTGATGCACACATCATAGTTCCTTGGCTTGACAGGGAACGCTTTTAGCAAGACTTGTTCTGTTTTGTAAGCGACGAGGACTTTATGAAATGAATGAATTATAAAGAAATCAGCCCTATCCCTCTTCATTAGGTCTCTACTGACTAATCTAAAAACACTTACCAGCCCCTCCTCCTTGAAAATCTTGTTAATGAACTCAGTGTGTTCACGATGCGCTTGCCTTGAGACGTTTCTTTGTTTGTTAATTTTGTAAAGTTCAAGGCTTCGCTTCGACACTTTATCGTTCAACAACAGAAAATTATCGGTGACCGTATAGACATTTGGCTGACCAGGCTCGTAAAAAACAGGGAGCAATACAGGCGACCTATCATTCTGCTTAGAGGTTTCTTCGTCGGACCATTCAGACGTGACGCTGGCTGTACTTCTTGTCTCATTGCTTGCCATGCTACCGCTGTCACTGCTGCTGCTGTTGCTGCTGCTCTCAATTTCACTAACACAGTCGTCACCATAATCGAAATCATCGTCTATGACAGTGTCCATGATTTCAGTTTGATCTGACGCGTCGCTAACTTCTGAAACACTTTGATCACTGTCGCTCTGGTGACCTTCTTCCCTCGCTTGATCTTGAATAACAAATTGCCGTGCACGATTATAGCACTTCGAGACATGGCTTTTGTATTTACGCCTTGAGAAAGGAGTGTTGCAGATTTTACAAGTACGCATTTCATACAGCAGTAAAAGGAAGAGGTGTGTAGGTTCAACGCTGGGAAAGGCAGAAGAAAGAGAGTTACGTCGGGCATAATCGCTATTTTGACTTGTTCGCAATTTTGACAGCCACCCCCCTTTTTTTTTCCCTTTTTTTCCAACGTTCTTTTCTACCTTTGTTCTCCTGCATAAAAAAAAGTTTATTCCACGGACGATCTACAAGAGACTCTCACTAATCTCTCCGATAAGGTCGGCCAAATCTCAAGCGAACAAGCAGAGATCAAGTCTTTACTGGAGCGCGATCGCTTTTCTCCTGCTTCAGCTGCTGCGGCGTCGTCCCAACAAGGATCTCCTACACCTGAAACTGCAATTCCTCGTCCCAATTCAAGAATTCAGAATAAACGCAAAGTCCACAAGATAACGCAATTAGACATTGACAAGCTAATCGATCTGGAGGGTAACCTTGAAGAAGACGTTCTGCAAGGGAATTAGAACTCTTTGTGCGAGCTGCGTCGTCGCTCAATCGACACCATTGAAGACCAACTCAAAGCAACGAAATTCTCGAACAACTCCTGGGCCAAGATCCCTTCGAAGCAACGCGAGGCGGAAGTATTACTATTTGAGCGCGTAGTCGAAAACAGTATGGGTGTCAAACTGCGTTTGTGCCAAGAGAAGTGGGCTGCGAATTATCTGTTGAGTTTAACATGAACAATCGAAACGACAATAAGCAACACAAGTGAGTTTCCCTTACGCGACAGCACAACTACTTACTTTTGTGGTTTGAAAATTTTATTCATCTTTGTTTTTTATAGAACTGCGCGACTTCATATTGAATATCCACAACCCCACAATGGAAGGATTTATCACCAAGTACCAGGCTGAACTTGCTGAATTCTCATTCAAAGCAAGCATTACAACTTCCAAAGGATATTTTACATACTGGATAAATCGATACAATCAAATCGTACGGGAATTACGACTTGAATTACCGCTCAAGTATGTATAATATAAACTCGGCGACACATTACTTTGTTCAAAGACACTGATGATTTTTTTATGTAACTAGAAAAATAAAGTACGATCCAGCATCCTGGGATCAGAATTTGCTAGAATTAAAACAATTGGTAATATTCGTTTATCGATAACATTATTGTCTGCTTGCTATTTACTGACTTCCTTTTCTTGCTCTTGTACAGCGAGAAAGTTCGCAAACTTTTCGTATTCATGCTTTGAGAACTCTTCGCCACGCTGCGGAAACTGCTGCAGAACGACTACGAGATACTAGTGGTGCGTGGTCAACCGTCAATGATGAGGATGAACAAGAAGTCGACGACGATGATGCTATGGTGTATGCCGATTTGGATGACGTTCAGAAATTGATCAAATTCTATATTCGTCATGTAAGAAAACACACACACACACACACCCACACACACACATATATATATATATATATATAGCACTTATTTGAATAACATCTACATTTATATGGAAGTTCTAACACTATGGGATAATCATTCATGCAGGTAGATGGAGAGCATATAGATGACGCCCAAGAGACGTTTGTCAAGACGATGATTGAACAGCAAGCTACTATTCAAGATAGATTACTTGCATCAGCAGCAAAAAGTTTGTTGAATAAAGAAGGATGGAGCAACCAAGAAGAAATCAACACAAAGTACTTTTCCACTATTGCCATGAACATATGAGCGGAATCAAGTAATCTATCGTTGTATGTATGAGCTAACAACCTCTTTTTATATTCAAAATAGGTTGTGTTTGTCAAGCATCGTAAATCTTATCTCCTCTGAATCAGTCCCATTTTTCAATACAATCTTGACATCGTCACAAATGACAGCCCTAGCTGAATTCTCCGTTCCCAAAACATCTGGATTATCTGATGAGTGCATTGCACTATTCGACGAATTGATAAACGAGAGGTAAAAATAAATGAAAGAGATAGGAATTTGTGACACATTGTAATTACTGACGCTGAATATTTTGTTGTGATAAAGTACCATTATGGAACCAGAGAGTATTCTAGAAAACATTTACAGAAGCCAAGCAAAATATTGTTCAAAAAGAAATTCAGATATATTCAAAATGCTGTGCATACTACAACAAGTGTAAGTATTTATTATGAGTGTTAAAAGATATGAGCTAAGTAGTAAACCATATCATATTCATAAATTTGTATATAGTATCTCGCAATTCGACGACTGGAGTGAACAAGCTGATGAAGAATCAAAAACAACAGTATTCCGAAGATTCGCTATATTGATTGACATCTTATGTAGACATACTCTGACAAAAATGAAGGAGTAAGTATAGAAGGGTGGGACTTGAGAAGCAGAATATGATCTGGATATAGGCTGTTGACATTTTTTCATGATGAATTTCATAGTGGCGAGTGCGTGGCGCAAACAACACAAGATGAATGTATTGCATTACAAGCCATTGCTGGATTCATATCAACGTCGAATGAAAAACCGTACGGTAGTAAAATCGACCTTATTGCCACAACACGCCTTGACGGAAGATCATACGACTTGAGTAGCAACGAATGGAAGAAACAGAATGCTTGTAGCTCGATTGTTTTAAAACAGCAAGCAAAAAATATTCGCACAAATGCATCAATCTTGTCAAGACTGCTACGCATGGGCTGCACAAACTCTATTCTTGCCATGGATTGGAAAGGTTGGCTACACTCGTTAATGACAAATATTTAAAGCATCATACTAAATATCTCAAACACTCAATAGGGGTCAACGGATATGCGTATACGTTATCGTTTACAAATGGTGTTTTTCTTGCAAAGCAGCACACTGAACACACGACGCACATCATCAACTGTAACCTTGGCAACAGTCTCCTCGACCTCCTTTGGCGACATGCGTGCGCCCGAAGTCAAAAGCTGGCGCCCAATGTCTTCGGCAATTGCAGTGGATCCATCCAAACCAAGTAACAGTCCTGCCTTGAGCTGCTGTTTGGCACGCTCGACCTCACTAGCCGTCACTGTTGATGCCAATCGAATCCACTCGTTGTGTGTGCAGTGGACCAGGTCGTCGATTCTATCCTTGTTTTCGGTCACCAAGTAGATACCCCACAAGCCAGTATCCTTGTACGAGGTATTGAACGACATGAATGAGTTGGCGAGCTGATGCTTATGTACGACAGACGATAAACGGGAATCGAGATGGCCGGTTGCGCCCAAGGAACGATCCCACGAGCCAATGATGGATTGCATTACCAGCAAAGGGAAATAATCGGGCGAAGTCCAGCTGGCACCCTCTACAGCAATGGCAATATGTGCTTGTGGCGAATTGTCGTCGGGGATACGTAACTCGGAGCCCGTGAAAACAGGCTTCTTGATGGCACTCTTGCTGGTCTGTGCGCTGGCAATCGTTGGCAAGCTACCAAAGTGATTTTCGGCCAATCTGACGAGAGCGTCGTGGTCTATGCCACCCAATGTATCTACGAGATTTTGGGGTTATAACGAAGTCTACTGGGACAAATCACATCTTGTAGGAATTTCGCTCCATACTTTCAGACGAGTTCCAGAAGCATTATCCGAACCTTTACAACAACGATGACGATGGATATGATTTGTCTCGGCCGTCAACAACAGAGTAAACAGCAAATCATCTTCTCTTCCGTCGCTGCCGCAGTCGCTTTGTAAGCATCGGGCTTGCCTTATAAGGGGTTCTCAAGATTAACAAAAAAATAATAAACACCCAGATGGATTAACTTTTTTCCCTCCATACTACTATTACCACTAAATACACATAAATGACATCCCGATTACTCTCAAGGACAGCCAAAGCCTGCTTTTCCAAACCCTTAGTACGTAACTTGTACCTAATTGTTTTTAATAAAAGCAGAGCGAGACTGAGTGGAGAAGAAATTGCGCTTCTATAAAAGATTAAAATGTACTGATTACTATTTACATAGTATAATCGAGGTCTTGCGACTGCAACCAACCTTTTACCCACATTTAGTACCTCCATTTTGCCAAATGGCTTCACTGTTGCTACTGAGGAAAACCCTGCTTCGCAAACCGCCACTGTAGGCGTTTGGATTGATGCAGGTTCGCGTGCCGAGAATGTGAAGAATAATGGATCCGCCCATTTCCTGGAACACATGGCTTTCAAGGTACTATTTCTTGAGGGTGTTGGGTTAAAAATTAAATGCACATATTAACAAGTTAATGGAATGTAAAGGGCACGAATCGACGTACGCAACGTGATCTTGAACTACAAATCGAAAACATGGGTGGCCATTTGAACGCTTATACCTCGCGCGAACAAACAGTGATAATGCTAAAGCGTTCAAGCACGACGTACCGCAAGCGGTCGACATTCTATCCGACATTTTACAAAACTCCCGTCTAGATCCAGGTGCCATTGAACGTGAACGTGACGTTATCTTGCGCGAACAAGAAGAAGTGGAAAAGCAAATGGAGGAAGTTGTGTTTGACCATTTGCACGCCACAGCCTTTCAAAAGGAGCCGCTCGGTCTGACCATCTTAGGCCCCAAAGAAAACATTCAATCATTGACGCGTAACGACTTGTCTTCATATATCAAAACCAATTATACTGGCGAACGAATGCTTTTGGTGGGCACTAATGATTCCAAAGCGAAGCACCCAACTATTGGTCTTTAAAGACGCATTGAAGTTTTTGTTCGTTTGGAAGGTAGTTATTTATCGCATGATACTCGAGGACTACATTTGATGCATAGGCAACAGTTACACTAATAATTAATTGTTAAATCTGTTATATAGAATCAACTACTGAGCATGGTTGCAAGTATCGATAGAAATACCAACAAGGACGCTCTTCGTGGCATAGTAAAAGTCACGGACAACGGCAACAACTCCTTAAAGATTCCGCCAGTGCTTATAACAATCCCAAAATCTCGTAAACGAGCATATCATCAAGCAAACCACTAAACAGCAACAAAAACCCCTTCTTCATATTAGTGCTTCCCCTTAATCCAAAATAAAGTC